AGCACAAGATAATTAGTGTGCGGACCATTTTCATTTATATAGTGCTCTGTGAACACAGATTAATTGGCATAAATCAGTTAAATGAGGAAAAATTAGGTGTCTATTTACTTGTGACCACTCAGTGTATATATAATGGCTAACAGAATAAACCCCAGTTTTCGTACACTAAAAATGTAAACCGCCACCGTGATATATACATATATACACGATGTTTCATCAGTTTTGAGCAAAGAAACAAAATCACACGTGTATATATATAAAATAAACATTTAGAAGTTTTTTTTTGCAAAATCCACTCTAAATCCTAGTCGTCATCTTAAAGTCATAACGGATATTGTCTGTGATAATAGTTCCCTAATGTGTTGGAGATATCCCATCTACCAGACAATTTGGGAGCTATTACCAAGACAATATTAAGGTAACGACAGGAATTTTCACTGGATTTTGCAAAAAAACGTCTTAATGCTTATTTGATATTAAGTTCATTATTGTTTTATAGTGCTGATTTTAATTGTCTATTAACAATTAATGTAATTAATGTTAATAATAGTATTGAAGCTATCTATTTTATTATATATATATATATATATAGTCTCTCTATAGATTTAACAAATTTAACTTCTTTAGCTACACAGGGGGATCGCCAGTGTTCGGAAACTTGACTTTAACAGCAAAGGTGGAGCCGTTAGACAAAGATGCTAGTAATTTTGAAAATCTGGTTCATCTATCGCAGATTCAACAGGTCTTCCATACCGTACGTTATGTCTTTTATTTCAAATAAAACTTGTATCTTTTTGAGTCGTGTCAAATAAAAATAGCAGCAAAAGTTAGTACACTTTCTGTTTATGATCGTCATATTCATATGTAGTTTCTTTATAATTAATATAAGTTACGTTTAAGTTTGCCTACATAGTTTAAGTGTCAAGTTAGATACTGATTTTAATTTGTCTTTTAATAAAACCTATTAAATTGTGCTATCTTATCATGGACGGGGATGGCCCTGAAATAGAAATCAGGATTTCGAAGCTGGCGAGCCGGATTCGAATTCGTTCGATACTGCACATGGTGGGTCGTAGGGTAATGTTGACTGGCCTTTTATCTTCTGGTCAGTAGTTCAGAATTTGGGACGGCGCCATATATCCTTAAAATGTTTTCCCATAAATACAAAATACACATTGTTCTGGTAATTCTTTAACTAATATTATAACTTCTAGAAACGTCTACAAAATTTAGGCCGGTTCAGAATTGCAGTATGAATTATCAACGTATCTAGTGTTTTAAGTTTACCTGTTAAACTTGTAACTGTTTTATTAACGATGTAAGTACACACTAACTTCTTGTCTTTCTTTTTTTAGTTTGAAGGTTCGACTTTCTATCGATTCAACATGCGAGAACTGGTCCATCTTGTTTCAAAGTTAGAGACACCGAAAGTTTTAGTGACGGCTTGTGTTGGTGAAACTCTGTTAGACCGAGTTCAATGTGGATTTGCCGAAACCGTCGTCTTTAACTCCAGTATCAAATTAAAGTTCCTTGGCTCTTTCCCTCAGGTCTTCAAGCCGGCTATGCCTTTCAAAGCTTATGTAAGATCTATGCAGATATGGTTTTAGAATAGCTGCAATTACTATTGGCGTATATAGACTGGTGAAGTTTTGAAACATTTTGGATCTACCTATCTGTTATGACTACTATATTTTAAATAGTTTGTCAATACTTATTTGAAATTTGTTTCAAAATTAACAGAAATGTTTTTTAATAATTGTTTTGGCTAGCTTGCTGTATCCTACCGTGATGGGTCAGAACTGCCACCGTGGCGCTTGTCCAGTCAAAAGCTAGATATCATGCCTACTTTGACCATGAATAATGGAGGTTCTCAAAAACTAGACATCAAGCACGAGCTCGTATCGCCCGTGCGTCCTGGACTTTGGGAATTGGAGGTGGACCTACGAACAGAACTAGGAGGAAAAACACTATTAAACAGCATTAAGTCTCTTAGTGTAGAGGTATCTGATGATTCAGTTGATAAATATCTATTGAAATATGTAGTTAAAG